AAGCTTCTTGTTTTTACCTTTGGCACCAGGAGGAGAAGGTTTATTGGATGAAGATGGTGGCTTAGATTTTGAACCTTTAGTATCTTCAGATTCTGAAGAGGATGCCTTATTTGATATAAGGAGCAACTGATATAATGCTGTGTCAGAGTGGTGTGTCCTTGCAGATAGATAGCTTGTAGGTGCCAAATATGATTTTTCTAGATCTTGGCTAAGTTCTGTTTCTGGTGCTGATTCCAGAGCTAGTATGGGAGTGCCTGAATCCTGTTGACTTAAATCACTGAGCAGATATCTTCTAGGAGCATTTGGCGAGTTTAAAACAAACTCAACAAATTCCATGCACCAGCTAAAGATAGCCTCTGGACCAGAATCTTGAAACACAAGATCTTTCTCTCTTAAACAAACCAAAAATATTTCTTTTACTTGTGGAGGAAGAAGACTGATGAGTTCATATATATTCCTTTCTGGAAGTAATGCTGATTGCAAATTTCTGGTTGCTTGTTGTTGGATACGTGGATTGACATCTTTACTAGCACCTTCCTTTTCAATCAAATATTTCCTGCAATAAATAAATGTCTGCATTGCCTGTAGATTAGAGTTTGTCATCAAAATTGTGCTACAAATATCAAATGTGAACCGTCAAAAACAGAATCACTTCATAAAAAGGTAATCTTTTTCACCCTATAATTGTCATTGCTACCCTTCCAAAATACAATAGGTTTTAATGGTTATTTAACGCTAGATATCAGGATAAGTTTCCTGGGAGAAACTAATGAACGTTAAAAGTTTTCCCCACTCTTTGATTTCTCTGTTTGAGCAAGTATCAAGAACAACTACAAGAGAAGAAGAGTCAGGCCGAAGTTCTAAATACCCATGTTATTTAAAAAAATGCAACAAGCGAAGTAGAGGAAGAATGGTACTCCCACCCACTTTATAAACCAGAACTCCTAAAGGCAGACATAATCTTACACAAACTTGGCGATTGAAGTGAATTTTGCTATCTTCTTTGAACTTTATCTGTAAATTTCAATTAACACCGCAACCAACTAATTCACAAAAGTCCTTTTATATCGTTGGTAAGAAGAATATATGTAGAAAAGAAATTGAAGCTTCAATTTGTGCATTGTATACAGCAAACAATCATTATAATTACGGAAAGTCTTATAGGGAGGACTTAGTGATTAAGAGTTTGAATCTTTGTATTAGAGATCAGACTTCAAGTTCAAATACTAAGATAGGTGAAGATGGATTTGGGAAAGAAAAAATTATTTTTTATTGTATAACTCATGTATTATCTATCAAAAAGATAAACATCTTTTCAACTTACCATATATCTATTATATATAATGAGAAAAAAATATTTTAACCTGCTACAATTAATGGAAATTAAGTAATCATCTTACCATTTCTTTGTTCACTTCCGGAGGCGCCCTGCCGCCACCTTCATCCGCCCAAATCCCTCCCAATGCTCTCCTGCCTTCCAGGCTCGCCATGGCTAATACCAAAATCAATGTTACAGAAGCAATGGACAAAGCAGCTCTTTTCATTTCCATAGCTCATCAAATCACCACCCCATTCGCGTGCTTTCCTTCTCATTTCATCAATTTGGGAGGATTCAATTTGTGCACAATAGAAGAAGCCAAAGACAAATTAAATCAACCCTTCTTCTTCCTTTCTTTTCCCTGGCGCTCAAGAAAACGCTACGCTGGCCGTCCAAATTTTGCCAAATTGTTAAGTTTGACTCAATCTTAACACCTAACTCAAAATCATACAAAAACAAGCGGAATCAATTCTCCACATCTAATGTTTGCTGCAATATTATAGGCATTGAAAAAGAACAATGTTAACATAGGAAGAAGAATCAAGCTGTGATGAAAACAACAGATATCAGATCATACCAATAACAAAAGATTCATTCCTTTTCCATTTTTTTGTGTGTAAAATCTCGTATTTTTGTTTGGGATTTTATTTTTGTTTGTTTTTAGGAGGAAGCAAGAGAGAAACAAGGACTCCTAAAGCTGTAAAGTTTAATTAAAAAAAACAAAGAAGAAGCAATTATTAATTCTTTTTCCAATTTTTAGTTTGGATTTTTTTTTTTTTAATCGAAGCTTCCTTGTTTATCGGAGGATGCAGGAGAGAAACCAGGAACCGGAGGATAACGTAGGGTGAAAAAAATTAACAGCTTTCATTATGTTAAATTTTAATTTATTTTTCTACTTTATTATAAGAAAATTCTTCTCTAGTATGACATTACTATTTGTGTTGTTTCAAAAAAAAGTATTATAAAAAAATTAAAAATGTCTTTACTCTTACTTTAAAGGTCAAAGGCCGTATTTGCGTCTTATATATTTTTTTTTGTTAACGCTCTAAATTAATAGTTATTTTAATTAACATTTTTTACTGTTTAAAATCTATAAAAATTTTAAAATTAATAGTTAAATCTCTGCATTATGAATTTATGATCAAACCCCTATTTGCATCATAATTTTGTTGATAATTTAAGATTATTTATGAATTTTAAATTATGAAGAGTATTAAATAAAACAAAAATTAATTTAAGATGTTAAACACAAAAACAAATGTATAAAGTGTAAATAGAAGATTTGGTCTATTTTAAAAATATATCATTTTAATTTTTTTTCATAATAATTTATTAAAATAATATAATGTCTTTTTTTATCTTAAAATGGTATAGTGTTAAATATTTTTTTCACTTAATTCTTTTTTTGTAAATTCAACTAATAAACGCTAAATTACCGGCATGAAATAAGGGGGTCTAGATGGTTATGATCGCTAGGATTTTATGGGAAAAACCTATTTTTAGCCCCTTAATTTAATAAATTTATATGTTTTAACCCATCACTTTATACTATGATACTTTTAATTCTTTACCTTAATAAATTTGTAAGTTTCAATCCCTCACCTTATACTATAACACTTTTAACTCATCACCTATACAAGTTAAAGAAAATAACCTTTACTTAAAGTTAGCTTATAACATTTTGTTAATTCTATTAGCTGACTGTTAACTTTATTAGCTGCCTGTTAGCATCTGTTAATATTCCGTTATAGAAAATATGAAATTTAAATTCAATTTTATTTGTTAGTTCTGTTAATGAAATATTAACGGAATGCTAATAATCAACTAATAGAATGCTAATAATCAACTAACAGAGTTAACAGTTAATTAACAAAATTAACAAATGTTATAACCTGACCTTACGTAAAGGGTATTTTCTTTAACTTGTATAGGTGAGAGGTTAAAAGTGTTATAATATACGGTAATGGGTTAAAAGTGTTATAATATAAGGTGAGTAACTAAAACTTACAAATTTATTAAGGTAAAGAGTTAAAAGTATTATAATATAAAGTAAAAGTTAAAATCTATAAATTTATTAAAATAAAAAGTTAAAAATAGGTTTTAATAGAAAGTTTCTCCAAGATAATGAGACAATTTCTTGAGAAGGTTGTAGGAAAGCCCGTGTATATATATATATATAGGGATTAGTACTTGTTCGCCTTACTTCCAAAAATTTAGGAGGAAAAAGAACAAGAATCACCTTAATACATGCTTTAAAAATGGATAAAGATAGGTGCACCCACCGGTTTCACACCCGGGCTGCACACCCGGGCTGCACACTCTACGTAACCGAATGGTTATGAAAATAAAATTACAACTTTAGCCTTAAATATCATCTTCCTCCCAATACCACTTTTCCTTCTTGTCTCCTCAAAGAAAACCAGCCCTCCCATCTT